GCAGAACTAGATATATATAAAAAATTTGAAAAAACGAAAGGGCTGAGAGCTCACGTTAATTATTTTTTGTGTAAATTCTTTTATAATAATATGTTTATTATTAAATTATAACAAATTAACACGATCAGACATTTGATCCCTATCGGATCATTATCATTGACATTATCAATAACATTAACTGTGAATTTTTAAATTCGTTGAAATATACATACTAAGTGATAAAGTTAAAAAATTGATCGTCAGAATTCTTGCAACTATTTTTTCTACGATAATGCGTTGTGATATCAGTTTTAATTCGTGTTGAGTTTCTTGTGTTGTTCACAATGTGTCTATGTATGCTCAGGAGCACTACATACATAGATATATATTAATATTATTTAGGCACTGACATCCAGCTCAGACTAATAAGTCTGAATTTTCTCGTTATTTAGTTGAATAAAATGAATATGATATAAGCTAATAAGAAAATGCAAATTTCTATAAGTCGGTGTTTAATGGTACCTTGTTGATGATAGTATAGGTAACGATGCGAAATCGTATGCGAGCCTAATAATGTGGCAGGGTTGCGTCTCACGAATCTTAGGATCTTCACTTGAATCGCCTGATTGCAATTCGATTCGAGATTAGTATTTCTGGTGGTATCACAGTTTTTTTAATTTTTCTAAAACCGCGGGTACGGAAATTATGATTGCCTTCTTTTTTTATTGATATCAAACTACTCTAAATTTTTTAATCGCTATATATCGCTAAGCGCCATCGATTGGTTTCTTTAATGATGACGGTGCGGTATAGCGAATATTGTTGTATAGCGCTTCCTTAAAGCAATGTAAAGGGTGTCCCAAAATTAACGCACCCTTTACTTCTCAGAAGGCGAATCTTTCCTTGCTTCTAGTCTATCATATAGGTATTGTCTTGGAATAAAATCTTATTCTTTCAACAGTCAAAATATCTCTTCCGCTGACAATTCTACCACGTAAAAAAAGCCGGTCTATGGTAATTGTCTGTGTATTAATTTTATTGTACGGATTTACGAATATTGGTGAGTAGTAGATAGACGTTTTTTGGCTATAAACTTGATTGATAAAATAACGATGCGCAATCGTAAGTACTGTAATATTAGAAATAATGATAAATTACAAAATGTTTATTGAAAATTTTGCTAAACAGTATTACAGCAAGTACGAGGAAACGAATCTATGTCATGCTCTTTTACATTATTTCTCGAGTTTCGTGTGCTGTATATTTTTATGCGAACCGAAGAAGCAAACGACGAACAAATGCCGGCTACGATTTTGCCAGCGTTTTCTTCTAGCGCCTCTCTTAATCTTAATTTTAATTTTAAAAGAATGAAATAGTCGCGCGCGCAGTTTTTGTCTTTGGTTTATCAATATCTTTTTAACGGACCTTGTCACAGCGGTACATAGTTGTAAAAAATTTCCTTTTAGAATACTTCAAGTAACCGTTGTGCTGATTTTTTCAATTGTCAGCCATAGTTTCCTCCAACGATTCAACACCCACGATGTCCATGATAAAATCTTTGTAAGATATCCTCTGTATCATAACGTAATAATACATTACTCTCGGGAAGCCTAACTAGTTTATCTTATTTATGGCCTATTTGCATAGTGTTTTTAAACATATGATTAAAATAGTTACCGCCGGAAGGAAACGGAAATTGAAGGATATGAATCTTTGAGATAGACTTGGTTGAGTCTCAACCATTTCCTCTTTGGGGAACATGAGTGTCTTGAGATATGTATATGCTTCTTGCAAAGTCAACATTTCACCTACGGCAAATAACAATATAAAAAATAATAAGAAATATTGAATAATTAAGATATTTTGAAAGTAGTGCAAATTAAATTTCAGTTTTACTTTACATACATACACATTATTTATCCAAATTTTTATAATGTTTCTGTTTTGTTTGTCTGTATTTGAAATAATTTGTTGCATTTACTAATGTGTATTTAATTTAAAATACAATAAATAATTTAAATAGAAGCAGGGCTAATAAAGTACTAAATAAGGAGATAATAGTATCTACTTTACTAGTCGTGCTTTTTTTAGATTAAAATTAGATTAATTTGATATATACTTTTGGCAAAATCAATAAACTAATCAATCAACTTTCCAAAGTTAATGGTAGATATATTAGGCTCACTCAAATATAAATTTGTGAAAATAATTTAATTTTTTTTATGTTACATTTGCAAATTTGAATTATTCTGATTAATATTTTCTTAAAGGATATGAAAATCTAAATTCATTTTTTAATGCGAATTACATTTTGGTTTCTTTCTGAAATTAATTAGTGCCTTTTAATAAATATAAATTAAATATAAATATAAATATAAATTAAATACGTAATAGCTTTATTCGTTTTGCAGATTTTAATATCGGTTCCAGAGAGTTAATGGTACTTCATAATAGTAAATTCGCATTAATTAATAATGAATTCACCAATAGGTTTATCCTCTTCCAGTAAAGTTTTCGATATCGTTCCTCCTAAAATATCCACAAGCTGCTCTCGCGTTAAAGTAGGATTTTTCATACTGTCGGCATTTTCTTCGATGAACGTACGAAAAGCTTCCTTTATGTGACGCATACCAATTCCAAACACCGGTCGATGATTCACATACAGTCGTACAAATTCTTCAAAAGTGATCTTTTCAATAAGTTTACCGGTTTCAACGTATTGTTTGTACCATACTTCTGTCATAATATTCTCTACCTTCAAAACAGATATTTTGTCTTAGCAAATCTTAACACGAAAAGATATTCGCAATATCTTAAAGCAAATGAATCTTTTATTATAATTTTCATGCAATTAATGAACAAAAACGATTGTTTTACTTATTGCTTACTTTGACATAAATAATTTTATATTTGAAAATTTTTAATTTGTGGCAGAAGACAAATGTTTAGTATAAAAAAAAATGTAAAAAATTATTTCAATCATAAAGGTAAATTTAAATATTTTAAAAAGTAAAAAAAGATATTTCCGGAGTTTGTTAAAGAGGTCGACATTTAAAATTAAAATTTTAACTTATAAAACATTGCATATGTATACATATACTGCTTTGTGATACTTCTTTGTTGGTCGGAAAATATCCAATAGCTCGCATAAGATTTGAAATTTGCTCGAGATCCACAGTGTCGGAGATGATTCTAACATCGGTCGTATTCTCGCCTTGATGTAATATCTGCGCATAATAGAACTGAGCCTTCATCTCATTTGCTAACCATCCTTTTTTCCCACCTTTGATGAGGCAATAAAACGGCGACAATCCTGCTCCGCCTAATCGTGCCATTTTGTCAACAGATCTGGAAAAATTGTTTTTTCTTTTTAATGATAAAATTTGTTATGTTTATTAAAATCATTAAACGATGATGTCAGAATCAAGAAATTTAGTTTCACACGCAATCAAAGTAAATGAATTTTTCGTTCGCATATTCATATTTAACAGAACAAGCTTGTATAATAACCAATGGTTTTTTTAGTATTAAAAAAAATTTATGTGATTTTTTAATTTTTACATAAAATTTAACACAGTCGTGACAACTAACTTCAGTTGGATTTTCCACATTAACACACATGGATCATTGTAACCTGCGGTAAAAAGTATTTCTTTATTGTGGCTGACAGAGATACCTATTATCTGTAAATAAAAATGGATCATAATACTCTCGTGTATGTTGTTAGCATAGTATGTTGTTAACATAAATATGTATATATAGAGTATCTAACTTTTTGAGGATGGCCTGTTATGCCGACAATCTTGTATGGATTACCATCAAGAGGCATTAACTGAAGACCAATTTCTCTATCGGTCGCATATACCATATAGCCATGGTCAACAACTTTATCGGTTAAGATCTAACGACATTGTAGTGAGATTTTTAATATAATAATTAATTAATTACGAAGAGGAGGCATTTCTCTGATAAATAAATCAAGAGAAACAGAAAGTTTGAATTAAATATAAATTCTAGAAATAAGTTCTTTGTTCTTTAACAATATACTTTATACCGCGTTATAAAATATTTGATGAATATTTCTAAAGAAAAAAAACGCAGTTTAATTAACTGTTTATATTAATATAGTTAAAATTTCTATAGATAAAATCATATCTATTAGAATATCTTTTCAATGTTTTTACTAATTTACGTTTTCTATTTATAGTTATATAGACAGTTATATCTTATATATTTCTTGTGTTACTTGAATATATTTTACTGGCTTTTCGAACGTGGGTCCTAAGTAAGTACCGCAAATTGTCTTGGTAGCATCATTGAAGATCTTATATTTGTACTGCAATTGTGAATTAAGATATTACGTTTTGCTGACATGATCTAGAAGAATCGCAAGACTATTACTTCAGAGTTTGAGATCATGAGAAATTTTTCAATGCCGGACACAGGGTACCACGCGAGGCAAAGAGGAACGGCACTTTGTTCGATCTGATCGATACGCAAGATTTTAAGTCCTGGCACTGGATATGGCCCGCTGTAATGTAATTATAAAATGTAAAACATTATCTTCTCTAAAAGGAAAATTATTACCTTCTTCAAATATTTATAGTTATTTAACTAGAGAATATCTAAATCGTTACGTTAATCGCGATTCAAGGTTATAATACACTGGTAATAATACACTGGTTTTTTTTAATAATATAATTATAAAATAATAATTTTTATAAATTTTGGAAATATAAACATCTCCGATTCAAATCCAGAAAATCATAAAAGTCAAATGTTATTAAAATTGTGTTTCGCATTTCTCTTATCATGACTCTGAAATAAATATTTGTTTTATTACCTTACATAATATCGCAATATTATTCTACATGTTTATAATTCTATTATATTAATCTCATTCACAACATCATTTTTAATAACATTTACGCATATAAATATTTCAATCAAATCGCTTAAACTATTTTCCACAAATAACACAATGGGACATTTACGATACAACCTGTGCGCGAGATCGTATTCGACGAGCTCTCGATCTTCTCCCAAAGAGAAAAACCGCGGTACATCGGAATCGGATGTGGCCGGGCCGAAAAGTATATCTCTGATAGGTAAATAATGCGAGTGATATTTTCCGATCAAGTTCCACATATTATATTTTGAAGCGATGGTCGTATGATTTCTCTTAAATACTACTACAGTCAACGCGTTATCCTACAAATAAAATTTTTATTTACCTTTAGAGTCGGTTAATTAATTTAATTAGTAATATTGTTGCCACAACGCGCAATATTATTTGCGAATTATCATGGAATGCGGGATTTCTTACTGTATAAGCCATGTATTCGGCACACCGTGTGAAAATAATTTTATTAATGGCTGTCGAAGAGTGCTTATATGGTATTTCATCTATAGGATCTAAGGTGATATGATGTAGAATCCAGATCGCCCCGTTCTCCAAACCACACACTAACATATCGCCTAAAAAAATAAACATTCTTTTCGTGATTTTCCTTTTCTTCCTTTACAATAATAAAGGGACATTGAAGATTTATTAGTATACATTATTTATATATATATATACATCTTGGTGAGAATTTCAGAGTCGTAACGGCCTTCAGGGTTTTGTGGCTTTGCGGACAGGTGACATAAATAATGTTTTCCTCAATCTTCTGTTTTTCGAGAATCGGTCGATAGTTTGGAAGAGGTGGCGTGCTCTTGGATGTTAGCAGAATGCATTTTTCATGATTATATAAATGTATGGTTCCCTGAGCGTCGCCCACAACCATATAACTTCTGTCGTTGAAAAATTACTATTGTTATTAAGTTATTGTATTATATTTATTTCAACAGAATCTTGCTAAGCTAATTTGAAATTTTTCCACCTTTCTGGATGACTATCCATACTAGTTACGATTGCAACCGGGTGATGAAACACAAAGTAACATTTCTGCATTGGAATTTTCATTAATGCTACTATTCCCGCAGAAGAGCCTAAAGCGAAATGTAGATAAAAAAAGAATGTGATGATATATCAAGTAATATATGTATTTTATACATATATTGATGTTTTAACGTATATAATTCATATAATAATTTTAGAGTTCAAGAGTTTAGTTCTTACACACAAGAAAATTTCGGATATTAAATGGAGAACACTGTAGAGTAACACTCGGTAACAAAGGATTCAATGTTGTTTTGATAGTCTCGGCGGTCTTATCACTCTTGTCATCTTGTGAAATAGCTTCTGCATTTACAATGAGTTTTGAATCTATTTGCGTTTTGCTGGGCAAATGTCTCCCTTAAAATTCATTTATAATTTTTCAAATTATATAAATATAACTATAATAATAATGATCTATATAGATTTCTGAATTTTTTAAAACTTCTAAATAAACTTCGAGATATAAGAATTTTTTTATCAGAGGATTCTTTCAAAATAAAGCTTACTTTTAGTTACAAATAACGGAGCTAACAAATCAGATTCAAGATGGAAGCTTAGCCACCGAATGGAATCAAGATGGTAACTTTCACACCAATACAAAAATCTCAATTGATAATCATAGAAAGTAACACGACCATTTGAATTTCCCGTAACAAGCACACTACAAAATTAAATTACATTAAGAATACTACTACCACTAGATTTACTAAAGTGATTTTAGGCTTTAAATTCACATACCCTTCGTTATCAATAATAACAGTAATACTGCTTTTCTGTAAGTTAAGAGTCTTTCTGTGTTTTTTCTTCTTATAATTAGTATCATCAGAAGCGTGTTTGTCTTTGCAGGAAACATTGTCCCATACTAAAACGTAGCCTAAAATAATAGCAATATAAGAAAAATAGTATTTAATAGATACTAAAGTTATTAATAAACTATTATAATATACATATAAATACAGACGATACCATTTGTACTTGCTGTAAATGCTTGTTGTACTTCTGGAACGTAGCATGATGCATTAAAGACACCAATACGTTGAACTTTTGCCATAACTTTGGGACAATCATAACTCAAAACGTGACCATTCTTATTTATGAAATTAAGAAGAAACACGTTATATTATTTTATTTTATAAAGTCTCTTATGTCTGATCATACTTTATGGTTTTCATTCTTATTATAATTTCTACTGATATTTATTATATCAATGATTCTTTCAAACTATCTATTTTAGTGCACTATTATTAGTTTTATATTAAGTATGTGTATATCAAGAGTCATATAAACAGCATCATATAGTTCATCTGTGAGCTAGGTGCTACTTTTTTATTATTTTGTTTATATATATTGTATATGTTATATAAAATACATTTCTCGTCTTTTATACGTATAAGTAAAGTTATTATTATTACTATTATTATTATTATCATTGTTGTTATACACAAGAAATGTTTTGTAATTGAAATCGTATGTCATATCTTCAGAATTAAATCAAATGTTAGATGAAATAGTTTTATGTAAAGTATTTTTCTTTCAACATTTTTTTTAATTTTAATAAAAAAAGATGATGTTTATATTATTCTTTTTGCACAATTAATATAAAATCTAATTATATTTGTAACTCTTTTTAAAGAACAAAACTTGAAATTTTATGTAAAAATAAAGATAGTAATTTTACATAAAATTTTTTTTATCTTTGTTATCTTTATTATTTCGAAATTGTATTTTACTTATTTATATTATTATTTCGTTATCTCGTTCCAACTGAGATGTAATATGATTATTTATAAATATATATAATAATATATTTTTCACCAACCCAAGTTAGAAATAAAACGTGATAATCGGTCGTCAATGCAAATTGTTCCGGACATTTGTCGTTGAAAGTTATTCCCTTGACACGTTCAGCAATGTTGATTAACGAAGTCGATGCTAAAAATATTTTAAATTAGCTAATTCTGAATTATTCAACAATTATAAATATTCTTTAAAAATGTTAATTATAATGATTGCATTTTTTGTGTAAATAAATAATAATTATATTATAATAATATAAAAGAATGTAATCCTCGACAATAATTAATATAAAAATACATATTAACATTTCATATCGTATTTCATATTAAATTTTTTAAGATGAGAAAATAATTAATAAATGTACAGAAGACAACAAACCATCTGGTTTGTCTCTTCTATAAGTCCATAACCAGAAATGCACATTCTGACATTTTCCACCGCCAACGGTGACTATTTGTTTAGCATTAGGACTAATAGCAGCAACTGTGATATCTTCACTATTATGTGGATTAAATAAAGTGCAAACGGAAACCCTAAGAATATTGATAATTCCGTTAACTTAACACATGAGACTCAAAGTAATACTCGACATAACTTTGCAAAGCAATTTCGGAAAAAAACAATAGCTACCCCTGTTCTGTATCCCAAATCACTACTACACTGTCCTTTCCAGAATCCGCTGTTAGTAACCACTTGCCATCACGCGAGGTTGACAACATTTTAATAGGATTTCGCTAAAAAGGATTATAGGATCATTCTTTAGTATTATTTGTAATTAGTGTTGTTTCGCGGCAAACTCAAACATATACCAACGTGACTTAGGAGTGGTAACATTTTCTTTAAATCGTAGTCGTAAATTATCGCTATATGCGAACAGGCGTATGCCAATAACGTACGGTTTGTAGTAGTTAGATTTATGATCGGTACTTCCGGATTTAATCCGAAGGACCACTTTAGTTTCTGAAGAAAAGCAACAATTTTTGTTAAATAAAAAAATGCTAGATCCGTCAATGGTACACTATTTTTTTTGTTATTTTTTTACTCACGAATGGACAGAGATCGCCCTCTGTAAATCCTCGTTCGAGACATTTTTTCTTCGCAGTTATTTCAGTATTTTCTGTATCTTCGGTAATTTTGGTTTGAGATACTCTGTCAATCGACGGAAAAGCGGTAATATACATCGCCATTTTGTAATATCAAATCAGTTTAAGTTTAAATAGCTAATTTCAGGTAAAATTATCGTATATCTGTGTAGATATATATATATATATATATATATATATAT